TAAAGGGGATGATTATCCTAATCCTATAATGATTAGGATAACTACAACATATGGATAAATACAAGGGAGGATAATGACAAGTCTTGGCCGCCTGGTATGGATAAGGATAAGGTGCTTGTCGCCTGGTCTTGGACTGAAGCGAGACTGATGTGGTCTGGTCCATTTCCGGATATGTCCCAACCATCATTTCTCAACACTTCCAAGAGAGATTGAAAAATAAAACAGTATAACCAATAGATATTTTCAACTTCCATCCACTGTCCGGAGCAAATGACGCCGACTATTCTTACTCCGACGACTCTTCCTCCGTCTACTACTACATGGCCATGTACCACCACACCTCAGAAGCTCACCACCACTAGAACACCATTCAAGCTCAAGTGTAGAGCTACTTCATCATCATCATCTTCAATCACAGACTTTGATCTTTACGACCTCTTAGGTATCGACCGAAGCTCTGACAAGTCTCAGATCAAAGCAGCTTACCGTAACCTGCAGAAACGTTGTCATCCAGATATAGCTGGAGTTCCAGGCCATGACATGGCCATCATACTTAACGAGGCTTACAAACTTCTGTCTGATCCTATCTCACGCCAAGCCTATGACAAGGTTATAATTATTACTTCATCCCTTTGTTGTAAAATAAAAAATTTAGTTACAAAATGAATGTCTTTTTTTTTTATGATTTCAATTGATAATATTTATTAATTTATCAAATTTAATCAAAACTAATAAATATTATCAAATGTTTTGGGTTTTTAGAGGATCATGTGTTAATAACAGGTTTGGGATATTTACCAAATTTTATCATATTTTTAATTTATAAACTTTTATTTAATCCAAACAGGATTATATACAGATAGACAAATCTATCGGTTCAATTTAAAGAATGGATTAGATATGAAAACACCGATTGAAATTCAAACATTATAATAAAACAGTTTTTTTTTCAAACACTAATAAAACAATTTTTAAATTATTTGATATTAATAAAAATATAAATTTTATCAAAATGGTAAAACCCGCGCTTTAAAAAAGCGGGTCAAAATCTAGTTAAATAATAAAAGTAAATATTTAACTGTTTTTGTTAGAAAACCTTAAACAACATCTAATTTGAAACAAGGGATATATTGCTTCTTCGATTTTTGTAGTTTTCTTGAAGGCCACGCTAAAGTAAATTACGGTTACTTGTTGCAGGAGCAAGCGAAACTTGAAGAGCTAAGAGGCTACACAGGGAAACCTCTCTACTCCGTTTGGTGTGGACCAGAGACTGAGCAACGAGCTGTGTTTGTGGATGAAGTCAAGTGCGTTGGTTGCTTGAAGTGTGCTTTGTGTGCAGAGAGAACATTTGCTATCGAGACAGCTCACGGGAGAGCTAGGGTTGTCGCTCAATGGGCTGATCCTGAGTCTAAAATCAAAGAAGCTATTGAAGCTTGCCCAATAGACTGCATCTCGTAAGTACATACTGATTTATGGTCTTAGATTTTAGATCTCTAAGTATCATTGATTCTTTATGTGATGTGTAGAATGGTGGAGAGATCTGACCTAGCGCCGTTGGAGTTCCTTATGTCAAAGCAACCACGAGGTAACGTGAGGATAGGGGTTGGAAACACGGTTGGTGAGCGTGTCTCCAACGTCTTTGTTGATGTCAAGAAGTTCCAGCTAAGATACGCTGAAGCCATGAGCAAAACCACAAGTGACAGCTCTAAGGTGAGTTTCTTTTCCATTGTCCTAAACAGTAATAAACTGTCAGATGCTAAGTAGTTGTGTGTCTTTTGTGCAGGAGAGTGACTTACAAAGAGAAGTAAGAATGAGTGCAGTGGAAGCAATCAGGTCTATTTCAAACTGGCTATACTGGAGATCATCACCTTACTCAAGACCATTGAGTCCTGAGTCAAACATGAGTCTCACTTTCACCAAAAGGAAAAAAACAGCAGATCCAGACATTAAAAAGCTTCAAGACGCTGTGAAAGCAATGAAACAAGCAGAACAGAGCGGTGAAACCAAAGAAAGACAACGACCAGCTTCTATGGTTGGAGAAGATTACTGGATTCCATCAAACCTAGCTCTTCCCTCGTCCATAAACAGCAGTTCAAAGCCTACTTCAGTTCCTCAAGTGTCTCATAAGAACACTCCTTCTGACGAGAACATTACTAGTAGAAGAGAATTTAGAAGGAAGAACTTCAAGATACAGAAGTTCCCAATAGCAACAGCTACAGTAGCAGTGTTCCTGGTTCAGTTCCAAGCCAGCTACACAGCCCCTGAGCTCAGTGACCATATAGGTGGCTCGTTGGCTCTGTCTATAGTTAACAGCCCATGGCAGCAGATTTTGCTAGCCGGCGCTACCTGGTACGTCATTGGTGAAATGCTACTCCAGCTTGTGGAAGCTATACAATCCAAGCAAGAAGATAAAGAAGCATAGACCTAATAAATATATATACATGTACAGCATATCCGTTTATAGAGCAGGTACATGTTTACCTGCAAGTTATAATATATGTAACAGTGATGATATACTATTAATATACAACAAACAAAATGCTTATTGAATTATTCCTGACAAAACAATTTTAAAAATTGTATTTAGTGTCAATAAGCATAATCAAAGAAAAACAGAGGCTAAAACTCAATTTCACCAACTAAAGGAAGCTCAGAAACAGAACCTTTTTGTGTTTCAAAAAGAACATACAAGAGAAGTGTGGACAAGTTTTAGCTCCATCTTCTCCGATCCTCCTCTTCATTAACCGGAGTATACCAATCAGGTCTTCTCTTAGTGTTGCTCAGCCTGTAATTCAGCAGAAGCTCTTCATCACGCAAGGCCCTCGTTGCCACCAACACCAAAGTCTTTAGAACTGGAGCGTCCAAGCCGTTGTTACCACCTGTCTTAAACCAAAAGCTTCCAAATCTCTTCATCTTCACTTCACCAGAATCTCCAAAAGATATATTAGGAATGTAAGGCCGCAAATCTTTCTCCATCAAGGGGAAGTCATAAGGACATATCATAACGTTTGGATTCGTTTCTTTCCCTGGGTGGTTAGCTAAGTGACCAAAAGCCAACGGGTTTCTCCTCTCAAGAACCTCTTTTGCTTTACCCGAGCCTTGGAGTGGCTTGCTCAACGCTTTCCATAACCTGTCTGAACCGTTTTCTGCTGTTTTGGTGTCTGTTTTGACAGCAGGTGTGTAGGAACCAGTCCATACTTGCCTAGATTCTCCTCCAAGACCCCAAGGCTGAGCGTTTATCACAGTCCCATCGTACCTTGTGATGAGATATGAGTTCTGTGAATCAACCTTAGGGTACCCCGGGATGTACCTGTAGTACGCAGGGGAGTAGATAACTCCAGGGTAAAAGGCTAAGACTGTTCCAGCATCTGCTTCACCTTTGATGAAACAACCTTGACCAGCGTCCTTGTGAGGTATTACTGATTGTTTGATCTCAAGGGTATAGCCAAGTTGATCCATTAAGCTCTGTGAGACTTCAGCGAGTTTCAAAGGCTTTGTCTCTGGAACAACTGTGCTGAAGAAGAATCAGTGAGTCTAGTGATGAAATAAAGCATTAAGTTCACAAAGTAGACTCACTTACAGGGCTTATCTGCAGCTGGAGAAGAATTACTCCCACCAACGGCGAAAGTGAGACCGCTTTGACGACGAGGAGGGCTTGCTGGTTGTGATCCTGACTCGTTCTTGCTAACATCAGGACAAAGGATTCCATCCATCAAAGAGCAGAAGTTTTCAACTTGGTTGTGAATATTCTCTTGAACTTGTCTCTGCTGATCAGACAAAGAGGTTTTACCAGCCATCTCAATTATCTCTTCTGCATCTGTCTCCACAGCTTCTCGCCCCAACCGGTTAAAGCTAAGCACACAATTCGTTTTTCATAAGCGCCAAAAGTGGATACATTCACAAGAAATGGTAACTTACAAGAACAGATACAATAAAACCAAACCAAGCAAAAGGTAACCAACCTTGTATACATAAACAGTTTGTTAATGTCTGCTTCAAATTGAAGTTGCCTTGGGTTCTTAGAAAATGTAGTACTCTTGGCAAGAACTCCAACAGCCTGGAACAAAACGTAACCAAACAAAGTATAAGAACAGTGGAGAAGCATCAAAAATCTCAATCACCACTGCCTAAACTCTTACGAAAACCCTGCATACCCCTAAGATCCTCAGCATCAATAAATTTGATCAAATGAGATACTTCATGAGACATTAACAGCAGAAAATTAAAACTTTTATGTTCTAACAGCAGACATTTCTTGCAATGCCACAAACTGCAAAAACAGCACGAAGACACTTCAAACACAACAAAGGCACAAACTTTCTTCGTACCCACTATTATAAATTGTAAAAAATCCGACAAATATCAACACACAGGAGCACAAGATTGATTCACCTTTTGAAATTTGTTGAAAAGAGACGCCATTTTCTATTTTGAGATTTATTAGCAAACGATGCTTAAACCTCGTCTGTTATAAGGATGGCTAAAAAGAGCTGAAGAGCATCAGGAATCGCGAAGAGCTTGGGTCAAAAACCTTCGTTGAGGAAGAGGACTGCATCTAGCACACCTCCCTTCATTGCTGGATCACCATGTTTGGGCCTATTCTTAGTAATGGGCCGAACACAGTGTCTTTAGGGCCTTCTTATATCTTTCTCTCATCTAGAGCAAACCTGTTTTTGTTTCCTTTTACATCATATTTTTATAGAAAAAACTATAGAGAAAAAGTTTGCCACCTACACAGATATATAATCTAATATGGTGGAAACCATCCAATGTATCATAATATGTCAATAACTACACGATGTTTATGTTAATACGGGCCTGTTCGTTTGTTGGTCGCTAGCGTCAGCGACCAGCGACTGCGACATGATGTCGCTGATAGTTGTTCGTTTATATGTCGCGCGACTGATCGCAGCGACTTGTCGCTGGGTTGTTCGTTTCTATGTCGCGCGACTGGTCGCCGCGGTTTGTCGCTAGGTTGTTCGTTTTAGTGTTGGTTACGACCAGAACTTTACATTTAAATTATTAATTTATTTAGTGTCGCTGGGTTGTTTTTGACAAAATACTATTAATTTTTTTTTTAAAATTCGTTTTTAGTTACTCAATTTTTTATTTTTTATTTATACACATCTTATAAAGAAAATCATATTAATAAACCAAAATAGTTTAAAACCAAAAATTAAATGTTACAAAATTACTAAATAAAAGTAAGTACAAAACCAAATCAAATAAACTAGTAAGGTAATCGATATCCTCTACTCAACACAGTAGTAATATGATCACGTAAATCTTCCATGGCTCTATCACCTCTTGGCTCATATGGAATATGTCCACATGACCATGACCATGACCATCATCTTCATCTTCGCCGTCATCATCATCATCATCATCATCATCATCATCATCATCATCATCATCATCATCATCATCATCATCATCATCATCATCATCATCATCATCTTCTTCTTCATCATCACCATGTGTATGATATTCTTCTCTTCTCTGCCAACGCACAAAATCATTATCTTCTCGATGTGAATCACATATGAAGTTGTGTAGAGCCATCGTTGCTGTAACTAGCTTTATCCATTTGACCAAACCATACTTTGGATGCCTACGGTCAAAAATTCTCCATTTTGCTTTCCACACTCCAAATGTCCGCTCAAAAGAAATACTACAATCTAACTCACACTACAATCCTTCATACATCTTAAATTCTATCATATTCTCAAGATAGCTAATCTTATCATCATCACTAGAGAAAGACATAAAAGCCATTATGTTTCCTTCATCAGCTTTGAGATGGTTAACTGCTGCAATGTGAAATGGTGACCACTTTATCACTCCAGGCAGCTCATTAAGTATCTCCATCACAGAGTCCACACGGAATTTACGATCCTGCTGCAACACCACACGATCCTCTACCATCTTTTCAGCTATCTTATTTTTTTCAGCCAGAATTGCATTCCATACAACATAAGGCTCTTGATCAAATTCCTTGCGCTTTCTTTTTGATGTTGAACATCCAGCTCTACTTGTTCCTTCTCTTGGTGCTGGCATATCAGTGTCAACTGAATCAGATTCATCATCCTTCTCTGCATCTACTCTAGAATCTAAGCTAGCTTCTCCTTGCTGAGCACACCATCCTTCTGCTCAAGTTACAGTAACATCACCAAACTCTGCTTCAAAAACATCCATGTTTGGAGGCATTTTGTTCTTGTACTTTCTTGCACCTTGCCATTCCTGTTTAAAAAGAAAAAAGAAAAAACTGAGTACAACATAATCAGAGACCAAAACTTATTTGATTTGAGGACCAATTTGAATAGCAGAAACAAAACAGAAACTGAAAAGAAAAGAAAAATAAGACAGAACAAATATTACATTATAACATATCTTATTCGATAACAAATACTAAGAGAAAGTTACTTATCGCAATGCGTTGATCCCACCAAGCATCTGACATCTCCAACCTTCCCATAGCATCATAGACAAGCCTCGTTCTATTATGAGTCAGTTTCTTAAACTTGAGATAAGTTTTTCTACTAATATCAACCTTGTTCTTAAACCTGTTCCATATCCATCTCTTACTAAATTTCTCTTCAAACTTCTTAATGATGAATTCTCTTCCAACTGAATTTATGCCACTCTTTGGTCTGTTCCCTTTCTTTTTCTCATCAGCATAAAGAGCAAAAAAATACCGAACTTCTTCATCGGTCCAGCTCTAAATAACAAGTCGTATTAATAGACAAACAAACTAAACTAGCACAAAAAACAATCACAAAACATCTAAAAAATTAGAATTGTATAAAACACTTACAACATCAGTAGACATTCTTCTTGTCTTGTTGTGATTGATGAATGGAGATGTTATAAGCAGCAGTGTAACTTGAACCCAACACAGGCCAATGCAATGTGGTTATCAAGGCTTACAATCTTCCTAGTTGATCTGTAACAAACAATAAACTTATTTAAACTGATGCTATTGACAAAAGAAACACCAGCCAGATCATTATTGTAGACAAAGAAAATAACTCGTGACAGAAAACAAAGAAAATGTATTGTCTTAGAAATTTTAGTCATTCATTTAAAAAAAAATAATAACTCGACAGCAACACATTATTGTAGCCTGGTCATAACTCGTGACAGCAACACATGTTTCCACATTGACAAACAAACATTTCATTCATTCATGACTCACATGATGTTCTAAGTTATATTAACATAAGAATCAGAGAGATAAACATAACAAATTCCAAAAAAATTCAAACTTTTGAATATAAAAATAAAAACTTCATATTTAATTCTGAGTTGCCTATAAATACGCAGAAACAGAGCAAAGAAGAAAAACAGAGCTAATCAAATGCATCAAAGACTATCCTCCTCTGTTCTAACCACCATCGCATCCCGACATCATTACCACACATCTCAACCCGTCAAACCCACAAAGAAACCAAACAGCCACGAACAAAAAACAACAACTTCCTGTTTTTACATTAAGAAATATTAAATTATATTAAGAAATATTACAAAATTAAATAAATAATCAACAGTAACAGGACACTAGGAAGCACTACGGGATCAGCTTTCAATCTACGATCCAGCATCAAGTTTTAATCAGAAACGATTCCCATATCGATCCAGAGAGAGAGAGAGCTTACCTTTGAACTTTTCTTGTGGCTTGTGGTCTGCTTGAGAGAACTGAAGAGTGAGAGAGCTGGAGAGGGAGAGATGAAGAAGAGAGGCGTAAGAAGAGAGGCGTAAGAGAGAGAGGAGAAGTAGCTTTAGGTTTAAGGGTGTTTTTGTCTTTTTGACATTTTTTTTTGATCGCTGAGTTTTGGTCGCAACGCTGAAATTTTTAGCGATCAAAATTTTTGAACGCTAGTCGCTAGCGTTTGGTCGCAGCGATCAGTCACAGAACCAGTGACCACCAAACGAACAACGTTTAGACGCTGGAATTGGTCGCTGACGCTAGCGACCAGCAAACGAACATCACCTACATGTTACATATAAGAAGTTAATGATTATATGGTGTCAACTTCACAATCATGTTTAATTGATTCTAATCAAAGTTACTGGAGCCAAATTGTAATTAATCAGAAAATTAAATTAAAACTAAAAAACTAGGAAGTAAACCGTACCAAATGATTCTTCATTGATTTTGTGCTTTCTTAACAAAGAGAAAAGAAGAAGACATGGAGCCGAGACAAAGATATCGAGAGAGAGACGGAGTGAGAGATCGAGAGAGAGACTGAGAGAAAGAGATTGGAGAGAACGAGACTAAGAGAAAGATACTAACATAAGGAGATTGAGAGAGAGATTCGTGTGCAATAGTGTGGTTTTGGAGGATTTTGTAACTTAGCTCGGGTCAGATTTTTTTTTGTTTAAGTTATAAAAAATAAATTTTGGCCCCATTAACTTTGATTATAATCAATTAAAACCGATTGTGATGTTGGCACCATATAAACGCGCGTTAACTTCATATATGTGACATGTATTAACATAAGTATTGTGTAGTTATTGACACATTATGATACATTGGATGGTTTCCACCATATTAGACTATATGTCGTGTACCTGACAAACTTTTTCCCCAAAATATGATCCAATGGTTTTCATTTATATATTTTCATAATCTAATAGACATAAAACATTATTGCTATTCATATTCATGTTGATGTCATCAAAATTTTTGGTAACTCTTCATTCAAGAATCATCTATTTGAAACAATACATCTCTTTAAGAATGTTGTTACACTCATACCTTTTCATCATGAAAAATTGATCCAATGGTCATTATTTTTTTTTATGATCACAGGGATGTAAAATAATTTTGTTTTTATGTTCATAAAACACTTTTGTTATATATGTTAGTGTCATCAAAATTTTTGGCAATCATTCTTCTTACAATTATTAATTTTAAACAACACATATCTTTAAAAGTCACACTCATACCTTTTCATCATAAAAAAATTGATCCAATGGTCATTATTTCTTTCTTTTATGATCAAAGGGATGTAGTATAATTTTTTCTTTTATGTTCATGTATTGAAAAATTTGGTTATTTTTTTGGATCAGTTATTTTTTTTTAAAACAACACATCTCTTTAATATTAAGAGAAAACATTTCCATAATTTATGTAGTATCAAAATTTTAAAGCAAAAAGTATCTTATTTAATGGTTAGAATTTTGTTAATTTTTGATCTAAGGAAAAAAAAACATTCTTGCCAAGAAAGTTCATATCATCAACTTTTTCAATAGTTATCTATTTCAACACATCTCTTTAAGTGTCACAATCATATTTTTTTATCATACAAAATTGATTCAATCGTCATTACTATATATAATAGCAAACCTATTTTTGTTTTCCTATGACATCATCATTTTTTATAGGAAAAAAATATAATTCAATGGTTATTATTTATTGATTTTCATGATCTAATGGACATAAAAAATTCTTACTATTCAGGTTGATGTTATCAAAGTTTTTGGAAACTCTTCATTCTAGAGTCATCTATTTGAAACAATGCATCTC